CTTATTTCAATTTCGAATTTCTCAATTCAAATTTCAATAGAAATTTCTTCCCTCACAATTCTGGAGGCCAGAAGTCTGGGATGAAGGTGTTGCCAGGGCCGTGCTCGCTCTGAAGGCGCAGGGAAGCACCTGCTCCAGGCATCTCTCCCAGCTTCCGGGAGTCCTAGGCTTTTGCAGCACACCTTCAGAATTCCCATGGTGTTCTCTCTGGGCGCATGTCTGCATGTGTCCCCTTTTTATCAGGCCATCAGTCATGCTGGGTTAGCAGTCCACTCCACTCCAGGATGACCTCATCTTAACTAATTACATCCGCAATGACCCTGTCTCCAAATCAGGCCATGTTCTGAGGTGATGGGGGTGAGAACATCAACATATGAATGTCGTGGGGACACAATTCAGCCCATAACAGTAATTAACATTGAGTGCCAGCTCTGTGTGAAGCCCTGTGCATTACTGCACAATTCTCAGGATCACACCTGTTGAAGTATCGATCAGTCATTATCCCCACTTTTCCTAAGACAAAATGGGGGCTCAGAAAGGTTAAGTAACTGGCCTGAGGTCACCCAGCTAGTCAGCGCAGGGCCAGGAGACCACAGAGCCCACACAGTCCACCATTCTGCCTCATTGCCTCTTCCACTCTCTCCCGTAACACGTGACCGATGCAGGGGCTCGAGATGCGGCCGTGAACTCTCAAGCCTTTGATTCTGAAATTGTGGACTCCACTGGGAAGCAGAGGCGACTGGATGTGGCAGAAACCATGGGATTTTTTTGCTTCAACTCTAGGCATAGTCGCTTCCTGACAGCTACAAAAACTCACTGCGAGGAGGAAGGAGCGAGAGTGACGTGAATTCCGTTTCCCCTGATTTGGAAAAGCACAGAGTCTCTGCTCCTCGACGGAATAAGCCTCGTGCTCCACAAGCCGCTGCCCCACGTGGCCCAGATGCTCAGGCTCCCACGGCCCGAATGACCCTCAGTGGAAGTTCACTCCTCAGAGAGTTAATGCTGCACCAAGAAAATCAACTTGGAAAACCAGCTGTTCTGCAAGGTGGCAATTATTGACGGCCGCCCATGCTGACGAGCAATGCTGTGAGCCCAAATGACCTGCAGAACAAATGAAAAAACGTGCCTTTCCCCTCTCCATTTTATGAGGCCCCAAAGCCATTTTAACAGACTGTCAAAATAGGCTTCTCGGTAAGAAGAAAGGAAAAAGTTGGAAAGTCCTTTTTGACAGGCAATTACCTCGCAGAGTTGGGTGAAACAGTATCTATATTTTTGGAAACAAGGTAACAGAAGCTTTGTAAAGGCCAGGGATTTACTGAACACTGACCCCGGCAGGAAGGGCACAGGCACCTTCATGCACTCTGAGTTTCGTTTCCACTATACTGGAAGGTAGTGAATTGGCTTCCTGAGGCTGCTGTAATAGATTACCACAAATTTACTGGCTTAAAGAAACACATATTTATTCTCCCACAGTTCTGGAGGCCAGAAGTCTAAAATTGGTCTCATGAGCAAAAGTCAGTTGTTGGCAGGGCTGTGTTCCTGCTGGAAGCTGCAGGAGGGAATCCATCCGCCTTTACCAGCGTCTGGAGGCTGCCTGCATTCCTGGGCTTGTGGCCCCGTCCCCCGTCTTCAAATCCAACAATTGCCTCCCTCCAGCCTCTGCTTCGGTCAGTACATCTCCTTCTCTGACTCTCTCTTGTGATTTTTCTTGGGCCACCCAGATAATCCAGGATAACCTCCCCATCTCAGGAACCTTAACTGACTCATGTCTGCAAAGCCCCTTTTACCATATGAGGTAACAGTTTCATCCTGCCAGGAATTAGGCCACGGACATTTTGGAGGGCCAGTATTCTGCCTACCACAGGTGGGCATGGTTTTGTCCATTTTACAGACAAGCAAATAAATTCAGAGATGTTGGACAATTTTCCCAAGACCCCTCAGCTGGTAAATGGGTGACTAGGATTTGAGTTCAGAGCCACCAGGCTCTAACGCCAAAACTCTTTCTCCCCCAGCACATTGTTCCACTCCCAGTCTCATGTTGAATCAACATCATGGTTTTCCAGGGATTGGGGTAAATGCTACCATTTTAAGGACTGTTTCCAATGGACTCTTCTGCATCCCAGCTCTTTGAGAAGATACACTAGGAAGGAGAGCAGGTGACCAGGGACCATGCCCACAGTGTGCCAGGGGCCGGGGACAGGCTGTCCAATGCACTTCACTTCCCTTCACCTGCCTAATTCCTGCTGGCCCTTTAGCTCTTGGCTTCCTGGGCTCCTCCTCCAGGAAGCCCTCTCAGAAGAGCTCATCCCAGGGTTGTACACGGTACACGTCTGTTTCCGAGTCTGTCTTTCTCTCTAGACCATGGCAACGTCACTGGTGACCTCCAGCATGAGCATGATGTGGGTGCCCAAGAGTTGCTTGTGGAACGGAGGAAGGCATGAATGAGTGGATCCACCGCCAGACTAGGAAGCCCGCACTCCCCGCGGTGGGCCCACATGGGGATTCCCGCCCCTCTGGAATGTACATGATCCCAATGACCGTGATCCACCATGATCCCGACCTGAAGGAGCAGCAGGCAGACTCCGCAGAGGCTGTGACCCTGGTCCTGATTTAGAAGGCCCTCTTAGAGGGCACAGTCACTGACTCCCCTTCCTGGGGTCAGCACTTCCAAGAAACACTTTGTCAAATATTGTCAGCTTTTAATGAAGATAGTCTGCCAGGCAGAGAGAGGAGGCCGGGGGTCGGGGCTCCTGGAGTTGGGGAGGCCGAGGTTAGAAGCGCCACCGCTCCCTCTGCCTGCTCCTCTTCCGAAGGGGGACGATGACCGACCCCTCAGGAGTGGGGTGAGCCTTCATGACACCCATGTCAAGCACTCAGGGTCTTGGGGAGCAGTGGGGGCTCCCCCACTTCCTCAGGCTCTGACTCCACTGGCTGTGTGTCCTGGGCAAGTCACTTCTCTGGGACTTACCTCAACTGTAAAAGACTGTGGAATAAATCCTCTGAAATCGTGCTCTCTGCCAGGACACCCGCACAGTCCCACAGCCTAACTTACAATGGCGGTCAGCGGACCCCACCAGTGGAGGAAGGACAGTCCACAGCCAGCGAGAGCACAGCCCTTGCCGGGCACTGCTCACATCACAAAATGTGTCCTCACTCGTTCAACCCTCACCCTGCAGCAGTGGTCTCCTTATTACAGCAACAGGGAAATCGAGTCACAGGGCTGTTGAGTAATTTACCCCTGGCCACCCGGCTCAAAGGGGACGGAGCTGGGATCAGAATCCAGGCCGTGCAGCTCAGCTGTCCAGGCTCTGAGCCGAGATGCTCAACAAGCCCCACCTCGCAGACAACAGTCAAGGACACCGCTGGGCAGCCAAGTTTTGAAGAAGGATAGTGTGAATTCAGAGAGCCGAGGACCTGCGTACTTTTCCGTATGTATGTTACACTTTAATAAAAAATTTACTGAAATGACAAATAAGGAAAGGGAAAATAATTCTGACATAAAGTTATGCTAACCAAAGCAGGATGAAAATGAGTACATGGAATAGGATTCTTGCTGTGAAAGAATAAAACATACATGTACGCAGAGCAAAGACAAAGGGAGCTTTGGCCAAACTTCCCCGAGTAGCATGATCCGGGAATTTCTTCTTCGTTTCTTTCTACTTTTCTGAATGTTACAAATTTACCCTAATGAGCTCATGTTGATTTCTTATAACAACAAAAAAAATACTTTACCAAAAAACAAACTCTGTAATTTTCCCATCATTTTCATGCCACGCCGACTCTGCCTTTCTGTTGATCAATGCAAAACAACTAATCACGACTGGATAGGGTCTGCACCTTGAGACAAGAATTTTGTGAAATCTCCAGATGGTGAACCATTGACATATTTTCCCTCTGACAAGAAACACTGCAGCGGAAGGGGAAGGAGACAACGTCGGTCCCCCGCATGTTTTATGGCATCCATTTTTAAAAGCGTCTTGTTAGCAGACCCCATTAAGAGCAAGGAGTGACATAAAGCGTTCTGTTGAAAATGGGTCAGAAAAGCCACTGGAAGCCTCTGCGGGTTTGCACCAGTATCCATCCTGTTAGTACAAAGCAGCGAGCAAGAGCGGAAAGAAATGAGCCCATCCCTCAAGGTCAGGGAACGCTACTCTGACCCAACCCTCTTCTCTTTCCTTTGGAAAAGAACCCCATCGTGTACTTTGTACCCAAAATGTGAGGCACAGACTGCACACCCACAAGGTAGAAGAGACATGAACATCCCATCAAGAGAGAAACTGAAGCTCAGAGAGGTTGAGAGCATTGTCCAACATCACACAGCCAACAAGTTCCAGAGCCAAGATTCAAATCCAGTTTGGTCTGATTCCAAAACTGTGCAATTTCTGCTAGATTCTGAAGTCCCCTAACTCCCCCGCCCCAAATGTTTATTTTGGATATTGGAGGTCGAGAAGGAGGGATGAGCTCCATGTCTTCTTTTGGACATTTTTGCTTATTGTTAAAGTCACGCTGTCTATCACACCGATCAACTGGAACATCCTTTCTCCTTTGCTTTGTCTTGCAAACTCCTACATGGGGTTTGGGGTGGGAAGATGACAGCTAGTGGTTCTGAAACGGTTTTAAAGTCATGTCAACAGACATTAGGCTCATGGGGACTCTGATCTGCACTCCCGGGGGATGCGGCCCCCCGCACAGGGTGCTCATCACATTGCATCATTTGTGACTAGGGGAGAGTTCAAAGGAGGGACCCAGCTGTTAAAAGGAAGACACAGGGAAGTAAAATATAAATAAGAATATGCTCTAGATGGGTGAAACGTCAGTGATGGACTTCACGATAAACTCCTAAAATTCAGACGCCTGCCCAGTGATGGAGGGCAGGCTCCTTTAAAGGCGAGCCTGTTTGTTGCCTGTGCGTCCGTGTGTCACCCCACTGCCGCCCCCCACCTCCCCTGTGCTGTTGACCCCCCTGCGATGTTCTCAGGAACGACACTCAGTTTACTCACAGAGAAGACCGCGGCCAAAATCTCGATGCCGCCCGTGCTCAGGGTGATGTACGGGATCTTTTCCGGAGGGATCCCAGCTTTTCCAAAGATACTGTTGGTGTAGAACCAGATCTATAACGCAGGAAAGGAAGAGAAGGAGGAGGGTCAGGAAAAGGCATCCATTTCCTAAATTAAATTCAGGTACAAGGTGGTCTCTGAGAGTCACTGCTAAATCCGCGGTCGCAAGGTGGAGCTGTGTGGCGTGGCCCACTACTTGTTTTCTCCCTTCTCCCACATTTTCCCGTTCTTCATTACTAATAAAACTCCTACAGTACTGGGAGTGACGTGTGCTCTGCAAAATGTGGCAATGAAATACAAACAGAAGTGGTGGTGGGGCTTCCACAAAGTCTCCTTAAAACGAGCTCTTCATCAAGAAGGTGTGATCCCATTTTTCCACCCTTTCTGCTGTCTGCTGTCAGGATGGTGAATGTGATGGCTGGAGCTTCAGCAGCTCTCTTGGATCACTAGGTGACCACAAGACAGCACTGCTGCTGACACCCATGGTAACTCTGTGAGAATTAGAAAAGGTCCCTGCTCCACAAGACACTTTGTCATCCACTGGAAAACTGCCATAATAAATCTACAATGGATACAATGTGCATGATGCTCTTGAGAGTTGTGCAATGCACAACCTGCATGATATACAGAGAGCACCTGCTGTAGGATGGAAGCCACCTGCTCAGAAGCTGGAACAGGCAGTTAGAAGAAGCCTGTATTCTTACTCACTAGAGTGATTCTTTAATTTATTATCCAAACCTGGGCACTTTCAAGAGTGTTAATAATTATTCCAGGACAACAGGACTAAACAGGGACTGCCCTGGACCAAGCAGGAAGTGTGGCCCTGGGGCTGCTCTGCCAGCCTCCCAGTTCCCCTCACGGGAGAGAGAAAACTATTTTCATTTAGGTCACTGTTGAAATCCCTGCCACATGAGGCCAAACCTGACCCTAACAGCCACTCGCAGGGCATCACCATCACGGCTGTGGAGTCCTGAGCCCCGGCTCCATCCAGGTCTGGCTGCAGGGCCTCCGTTCACCCCACCTGCTGGGATTCCTTGTCCTCTGGTGTCGGGACCTGGGTAAGAACTGCCACTGCTCATTATTTACTTAAAGTCTTGGATCAATAGGCTGGACACAAATCACTTGTTTTCTTGCAATCCCAGCCATTTCCTCAGAAAGCAAGAGCTTGCTGAATGATAGGAAAGCATGCTGTTCTTATATATGTAGTCTGACGGGAGACCCACTGCCTCGAAGGGCCTCGGAAGCATCATAAACGGGTCATTATTACGCGGAAACGTCCGAGCTCGCGGCTCGTGCCCGTGGGCTGACTGTGGCTGGGAGCGCTCTTCCCACGTGGCTCTTACTGCCTTTCAGGAGAAAGCTCTTGTGTCTACAAATTTGTCTTGTCACCAGCATTTGTCAGCAAAGTTTGTCCTGCGCTGGGGGAGAAGATCTAATCTAGGACCTCCTTGGATCTACAGGTGATTTATTTTGTAGGGAGGCGAGTAATTATTTGTAAAGTGATGGGCGTCCTACAGACTCCAGCGCGACGGCTGCTGGGACGGCTCCGAGCCCGCGCGCACCGACGCGGCAGTCGGCAAACACGGGTTTTACCGTCCACACACAGCAAAGGCCCTCCTGTCCTGCGTCTGCCTCTCACCTGAGTGAGCTGAGAAAATAGAATCTTAGACTCCATCTTTGCTGTCGCATCCAGAGAGTAAAGCAGTGGCTTCTGATAAATTCATTGATTCCTACAGCTCTCAGGGCTGTGACAGAAGCTAAAATTATTCCAAAAAGCCTCAGTCTGAACTCAATTTGTTTATATATGTATATATAATAATATATATTTTATATATAAAATATATATTATTTTTGCTTATGTATTATTTAATATAATATATAATTATTTAATATAATATTATTATATATATGTTTATTATATATAATATATAAATATATATATTATTTAATATAATATATATATTTTGCTTATATATTTTTTTTGCTTGAGGAAGATTTGCCCTGAGCTAACATCTGTGCCAATCTTCCTCTATTTTGTATGTGGGATGCCACCACAGCATGGCTGACGAGTGGAGGAGGTCCACACCTGGGATCAGCACCCCCAGACCTGGGCCACCCAAGCGGAGTGCACTTAACCACTAGGCCATCGGGCCAGCCCCATAATCTGCCCCCTTTTGAAGGTAATTGTGGTCCCCAGCACATCTTCAGGGATGGATCAGAGGAGCTTAAATGCCTTTCTTAATCTTCATCCCAATTCATTGATTCCAATAGCCCAGGGTCTCTGCAGGCCCTTTCCATGGCCCAGGCTGCCCAGCCGCCACCTGTGCACACGTGGCCCTGACGTCTGTGTTATGCCCAGCCTCGGTGCGGAGCCCCACGCCCTGACCTGCTCATGTTCCAGAGGCTTCACAGCCTCTGCTCCTCCCCTGGAAGCTGCACTCCGGCTTCAAGCGTGGTGCTCCCTCCCAGTTCCTCGCATCCCCTCCACCCCTCTTCCTCCCTGCTTTCAATTCTCTCCGTAGCAAGGCTGCCTTGGGCACACCTGAAGGGTTTAAAGGTTAGTGAAGAGTCATCGAGCCTAAAATTACACGCTCCTCAGGGATAGTTATGAAAGCAGCTCTGCAGTCATCTCACACTTAAAAGCATTTACCCAGCCGTGGGCAGAAATTGGCCCTTCAGACCCTCTCCCCGAGTCCAGAGCTTGCAGGGAGGACCTGCTGGGCTGGCCCTGTCCCCAGGGGGAAGGCCTGCCCATCACACAAACTGCCAGTCTCATTCTCTTGCCTCTGTGAAGCCATTTCCGACTCCCGGCATCATCGTACAGAGCAGGAAGGCAACCGCCTCGGCCTCTGCTCCCGCTGAGGTTTATTAGATGCGGCAGTTTGAGGGCGGCGGACAGCCGAAGCACCAGGAAATCTGGAGTGTGTCCCGCGGGGCCCTGGCCATGGAGCGTGCTCTGCGTTGACCTTGTCCGAGACACAACGGGGCTCTCGACCGTCTCCTCCCCCGGAGGCGGAAGATGGAGAGGAAGGAGCAGCAGTTCTGGAGGGCTGCCCACTGCCTCTCGTGAGCTGGGGGCCTGTGACTTATCGGCTTTGAGCATCCGTTCTCTAAAAGAAAGCGAGACTACTCTGTCTCTCAGGGTTGTTGTAAAAATTTTTCAAATGATGAGGTAAAACATCCTTTATACAGCTGGTGCATAATGAACGGTGAGTGTCATTCTAGAAGATTTCCCTCTCTCTGCGGAGACGCGGATGCTCCTTGGTAAAGAACACGGACAGTCGCGCACGGGCCGGGGAGGAAGCGCGTCTGCATTAGCTTCTCAGAGGCCGGCTCCTCCTTCTAGGGTGGGCCTTGAGGGACCTGCAGCGGGCAGCTGGGAGGGGGGCAAGGGAGAGGGTTTGGGCCTTCTCCACTCCCCGCCTCTAACGCCCTGAAGCCCTCGTTCTCAGCTCACCACACAGTGCTTTGGAGACAAAGCATAAAGTGCATAACCGTTTTCCACCCCCAGCAGCTTGCGAAGGTGCCACTGCCGGAGGGTCAGCGAGACCACATGCAGCCGGTAACGCCCCAGCGGTGGGGACCTGGCTGTCGGCCTCCTGGGCCTGGCTCTTCCCACTGCCGCACAGGCTGGGCTGCGGCTGTGAGCCCAGCACACCGACCTGAGATTCCTCTTCTCTCCGTTGCTCCACCTCGCGTCCCATACATGCCCATGGCCTTGACTGCACGGCCTTCGACTGAGAAATGCCTTCCAAACTCTCTCTGGCTGAGCTTCAGGAGCAACAGAACACCTGATCTCCCTTTGCCCAGAACCAGGTGACAGGGACAGAGAGTATGACTTGGTACCCGCTTGCAGGATGTGGTGAGCAGCACAGTGGTTCCCCCAAAGACGTCCACGGCCTCACCCCAGGAACCCATGAAAGCACTGCATTACATGGCAGCAGGGACTTTGGGCAAGTCAAGGGTCTTGAGATCGGCAGGTATCCTGGGTTACCCAGGTGAGCTAGAAATGTAATCACAGGGGTCCTTATAGGAGGCAGGTAGGAGGGTCAGGGGTCAGAGGTCAGAGAGAGAAGATGTAAGGATGGAAGCGGAGGTCAGAGGGAGAGGGGGAGTTGTAAACACAGAGGTGGTGCCCACAAACGGACGGTGGGGCACAGGCCCTATTCTGAAGTATAGAAGACAGGAAAGCTTATCATTTATTAAACACTGTGTCCCAGGAAATGTGCCCACGCTTCCTCCACTGTCAGGCGGGGACCTGCTTTCCCTTCACTTCCTGTTGCCATTTGGGGAACACGCCTCTCTCTCAGCCCAAGGGACAAGGGACCACATAAGGGATAAGGGATAAGGCCTTCGGAAGGAGGAGCTTTGTGTGCTCACTGGCGCCCCTGCTGGGCTCTCTGTGCACCTGCCTCCCGCAGGAAGCTCGTGTCCCCTCTGCTCTCTCCATGCAGGGAGGGACCTGCCCGGGGCGGGTGGGCCTTGGGTCCCTTCCTTCTGTTGCGGCTGGGTCTGGGACGGCGCCTCAAATCTGGGAGTGCAGAATTAACCACAATTTCTGAAGTCACATCCTCTAATCCAGGCCCACTCAGCATACAGCTGACATTTTTCTCTCCGCCTATCTGATTCCTGTGTCCATCTCTAACCTGCTCTGAATTTCAGAGGAGAGGAAAGGGAGCTCACATATCGTACCTCCCCAGACCCATCACCTACATGACCTAATTTCATCCTCACCACAGCCCAGTGAGGTCGATATCGTTGCCCCCATTTAACAGACGAGAAAACGGAGGCTGGGCCAGGTGAGGGCTGGGATGTCAGCTCAGGTCACTCCAGTCCTTTCTGCTGCCTCTGGGGGAGAGGGCATCTGATTTCCCTCCTAAGATGGAATGAGGCGGGTGTTAAATCGGGTGGAGTCACTCTGGGAGGTGGATGGAGCAGAGGGCATCAGGGGAAAGGAAAATGATGGACCCCTGAAGAAGAGCAAGACCTTCTCCCCTGAGGGAGGGGCCCCACGCTTCTGACAGCGCCTCAAAGCCTGCACCCTGGTCCTCGGC